TTTTTTGTTAAAATATTTTGGAAAAAATAAATACATTTATATGAATATAAACATATTACATTTAATTTCGTTCCCAAGTGATTAGATTCCCTTTGAAGGATAAAGTCGCCAGTCTGATGTTTGTCCACGACAAAATTACATGCAACTTTGTTTTTACTTTCTCGCTACGAAGTAGAGAATCCAATGTGCGTATCCCATGAATTACAACTGCCAATGATTTCGGACAATTGAAAACTGTGGGGCTAGGAGTGGCACTAGACTAGTCAAATCAGTTCACAAACAAGATAAGACAGTGCGAAACAACACGACATAGCATCATCGGAATATACTCGTAGTTAGCAGCTCACACTGTCGCCACTAATTCCACGATGGAATGGTCCAAATTCCAAAGTCTCTCCACCACGGCAAATTCCATTTCGCATGACCGAATGATCGATTGCCAAAGGGAGCGATAAAAGGAGCAGCTAACCCGGCGCTTGTTGCAGGCTTGGCGGAGCGGCTCCGATGCGGCGCGCCGATGTTTCCTCGTTCTGCGCAGCATGATATACGTCACGAGCCACGTGACCACAACATGGGCTCGGCACTTCGTAGGGAAAGTCAGGCCAAGGGTCAGGCCAGACGCTGGCAGCCATGCTGCATGGCAAGCGAGAAGTGTTGAGAAATATTTCGAGCGGTTCGGACCATTACGGAAACGGAAATTGGGGGGTGGAAAAATAGCACTGGTTAGTAAGAACGAAGCCTAGACTGAACTAGCACACTTTCTCTTCTACGCATTACGATTCCATGGGCACTACTATGGCACACGCAAGAATTGAGCCTAGGGCAAAACTAACACGAAAACGTCCCACATCATCCTCGAATGTTTAAGCTTCCAAAATCTAAAAAACTCTGTTGGTATTAAAAATTGAATTAATAAAATATTTCATTCAACTCGAGATTGCAAGTCAATTTTAAATTATCTTCATGATGCGTCCTCATAATATAATCTGAATTGTAAAATTTATTAAACTTAATGTTTCTGTTTATTCTAATTTATAAAATGTATCTCGGGTGTAAATCAATAGTGATCGCTAATGACTTCAGATGTTTTTGAAGCGACCTAAAATAAATAAAAACAAACCGGAATCCAATGGTTTAGAGGCTTCGAGCAAAAATCACACCTCCAACTACCTTAAAAACATTAACCAAGGAAGGGAAAAGCCCGCTCACGATGCAGGCGTAATTCAATTAATGCGTACTACATCCTGGAAGCAAATGAGCTCGTTTGCCAACAATTTTTCACAATAAAGTGCTACAAAAGACAAACCTACACGATTTATACACTACTATCAAATATTAAAGAAATCCAAATCGGTATACCAATGCAAAACAAATCCAGAAAGTAGCAAAACATGTATATTCTTCTCTTCCATCTCCTTCCTTTTATAAAGTCCACTTAAGACAAGTAGCAAACATCCTAAGTAGTATCAATCCACAATTTTCCGAAGATACTCGTATGCACACTCCTTTCTAAATTAATGATTTCTTGTTGATCTTCCCGTTTTACTTCCTATTACTCGTCAGCGCATTTTCTTCCAGTTTACACACCAAACAAACAAAAAAATCTAAATTACCCCCAATAGTATCAAAATGAAATAAATTAAGCACACATGAATGAGTAAGAGTAAATTGACAAAATAAGCCACGTGTCCAGCGTGTATAACTAAAAACTGTCAAAAACTCTTAAGTCGAACGAAAAGAATTACATTGCTAAAAAAATTAAATACCTCTCGAATAATTTCTGTTTCACTACCGCAAATGCGGTTTAAAGAACTCGGAAGCGCGATTCCCAAGGTTTGGTGGACACATTTGGAATAAAACTGACTTTCCGTCATTTCCGAACTTCCGAGCCCCACTTCATGAGAGACACTCTTTAAGAGCTTCATTAAGACGGAAAGCGAAGTTGTGCTAACGCAAGATTTCGTAATCGCTGGATTTCTTCCGCGAATCGCTATGTCCAAACGATCAGAAGTTCCTTTCGATTATGCGTGTCCCTTGCTTCCTCCACAAAATAGCGCCGGAAGTGTCGCCCGGAGGAGCCGGCGGGAAGAACAGGGCCCGCTGATAGATGAACATTTTTGGGGATAGATGACAAATACATCTCAACAAGCTAAAACAGCGAAGACCCTTCATAGAGTCTGGAAAGTTCATTTCATACATAAAATTCGTTCGTGCCTGCGTATAAAGTTTACAAAGAGTCCAAACTAATGAACGAAATTTGACGATAATTTCCACGAACTTTACAAATGAATGTTACAATAGTGACCAATTTCAATAGGTGAAAGAATCTTCAATCAATAAATCGACAAGTGTCCTGTGCCATAATTACATAACCCTGAGGTTAAAAGAATAAAATGAGAATTGTTGCGATATTTTTCAATTTGGAAACATGATTAAAAAATTGGTGTTTAAGAAATATGAACATAAAATTAAATACAGGATTTGTAAATACAAATGAAAATAGTCTTTAAAATTATATTCAAGTTTATAATAACTTTCTGCATGGAGGTACAAATAAATATTCTGGTCATTCTGTTCTGTGTAGAAAACAAAAAATGCTTCACATTCCGGTTCAAAAAAATATAATGGCAAAACGATTTCCTCACAATTTCAAAATCTAAAAATAGTCTTGGGCACATTATTTGAAAACTGTTGTTTATTAACACTGAGAATATATATGATTTGTACGCCTTCTTGATAAGCAACAAAATAATATACACAGTAAAAAATATTGTTGGAAACTTATTATTCAGAAAAGAAAAAAAAAATACTTTGAACATCTTACAACACTAATAGTCATTCTCTTCAAAAGAGTTGTCTGAAAATCTGATGAATCTTGTTTGGAAGAAAAAAATTATTTCTTAAAAGTATTGCTCAATCCTCAGAGAATTTACATTCATAAGATAACATTTTCATGAAAATATTAAACATCCTTTTCCTTCAATAGCTTTAGTTTAGAGAAAGGTTTAATGAATTTAATTCTTAAGTTTGAAATTTTATATAAAAGCTTAGTCAAAGATGACAGCACAAAAGCCAACAGGAAAACATTGGAAGTTATCAAAATTCAATGCAAGTTATCTAAACAAAAGAGTAGGCAGTTACCTCAAACTTTAAGGAACTGAGAAATCACTTGATGACGTACAAGTTCATATAAAGGAGTTTGTAGAAACAGAGAAACTAGTGAAGACATAGAATAAAAGTATCTCGTCCTCCAATTCCAGTGCCCAAAAGCACAATCAACTAATAAAGGAAAGAAATATTTATTCCCCTTTACTAGTGATTTTCCATTTACTAGAAAACCCAATTGACAAGTCATGAATTCAAGTTAACACATAGGGCATAAACAACATTTAAAATTCTGCAATCATATCCCCCAAATAATATTCTGAAACTTGAATGTGAATTATACTTTAGCTTCCACAATACTTCATTTTAATAAATAATACAAAATCACAATTCACTACAATTTCCTACTCAAAATTCGGTAAAGAAATGCATCAAAGTTGCAAGATTCTTTGTATCATAAGTACAACATTTTTCACCTGTGCCCAAAAAAATGCTTCCCTGTTATTTTATGATTAATAAGTGGTACTACACACAGACACAATAAACACTTTTCTCATTTTAATTTCTAACAATCATCATTCTTTAAAGTGAAAGACGTACAGAAACATTCATAATAAAATTAAAATTCATAACAAACCTTGAAGATCTAACCAAGTAAACTATTTTCAAACAATTAATGATCCAGTCAAAAAATTATAATTAACCAATGTATTTTCTATATGCTTACAGAAGTACTTCAACGTTTGTCACCATAGTAAACTGTGATACACAACACAGTTCATCGTGCTAAATTGTGAGGTTATATGATTACCTAAGTTTATATGACAATAAAATAATTTTGACTAATCAAAGGTTTACTTTATTTTTCTGTGCACTGTGGTTATCATTAATTTTTGAAGCTTGATTTAGAATCCATGTTATTTTCTTTGAAATAATAAAACTCTGGTAAAAAATTCTTCAAATTAAACATAAATAACAATTCAGAATATCAATTTTTAGCACAAAATTATTTACAAATGTGAAGGTGACACAAGTTCTTTGAATCATTCAAAACAATCATTAATTTACATTCCAAGAGACCCCTGTACATTCTAAAATAATTACTGATGTTCTAGAAGTAATGTTAAATTAATTTTCATGAAAAATTGAAATAAAAGGTCAGCTTTTGGTCCAGTATCTCCTAACAATAAAATATGGTTGTTTATTCATAAAAAAATTTGGTTAAATAATTTTTAGTGGAAGAGCAAATTGACTTGTCATGCAATGTTACAAAATAAGTTTTATTGACAAATAAATATATCTCTTACTGAAAATCAAGCATGTAATTCCACTTCATCTTTACCTCTAATTCCCACTGTATGGAATATTACATTTATTATTATCAGATGTTGATCTCAATGTACATAGTTTCACAAACACTAAAAGAAATGCTTTAATTTTTCTCATTCATAACATGTTTCATTTATTTTATCAAATCTATACGAACGTCAGCCAGCCCTCATACATCTATCCGAAAAAGTTGCTTTATTTACTTCTAAGTTCAACCACAGCACGAAACTGCAAAGTGTGTACCGAACTCCTCGAAGCAGTGTTATCACTAGTAACTAGGAATGACACAGTTTGTAGAAATTCATGAACATAACTCTAGCCCTACACAAAAACATCTCCTAAGTAGTTTTAAAGAAACATTGTACTCTTTTTAAAAAGAACAGATCATACGCACATGTACCTTTCATTCACGAAAATCTGGAACGGAACACTTCACAACACACTCTTCACAGCACACTTCTTTGAGCCCTTTTGGCGCATTTCTCGAATCTACCACGCGTTCAATTGGATCGACTTCTCGATACCCCAGGTCGATTAATCGGTGACCAACTACAACAAACAATTGATGATTGCGGTTGTACACCGCCTGTCACTGTGTGAGGGCTGTCGCCTTCTCGGTTATTGACAAATTGAGGTTGCCCTGGGTTGCTTTTATTCTTCGTTAATCGTAAGTGTAATGCTAGCTGTTGATAATAACTAGGACAGATTAAAATAATTTTCTTTTTGTAAGAGAATATACCTTTCACGTAGGAAAACACTGTGTGTTTTTCTTTTTTCATGTTTCATGCGGGAAGTTATATAACCAGTGCCCTTTAGTGCCATGTTTCAAAGTTTATATGTTGTCAGTTATGAATTTGAATTCTAAAACGAATGTATCTTTTGTAGGTTTACATAACAAACATGGAATCAGATGCAGATGAATGCCTTATTTTCCAGCAAGATGATTTATTTTCTCAGGGCTTTCCTGTCATGGAAGAAATTAGGAGACAAGGAAAATTATGTGATGTAACATTAAAGGTTAAACTCATTCTAATAATCAATATGACATTTAAGTATGATTTGTGTCTTGTAGAACATTTAACCAAGTTTGTTTTGCAGGTTGACTCGCAATCATTCAGTGCTCACAAAATTGTTCTTGCTGCTAATATACCATATTTTCATGCCATGTTTACACATGATATGGTGGAACAAAAGCAAAGAGATATCACAATTCAAGGAATTGAAGCTACGTATGTATTGCATTTAATTGTGTAATATTTTATTGTTATTTTATATTTTGTAAATATTTTCTTATTTTTTTCAGTGCATTAGAGGCAATGATAAATTTTGCATACAGTGGACGTATAATAATCGATAACAACAATGTACAATCATTAATGGTGGGTGCTTCATTTCTTCAGTTGACTAAAGTAAGAGATGCTTGCTCAGAATTCTTGAAAAAAAGGTTTGTTTACTTCTATTTCTAAATAAACCCAGTAATATTTATTTGTAACACTTAAGTTGTGTGAATCTGATGAAAATTACAGCTTATATTAATGTAATGATTTGTTTTAAAAAAAAGTTTGCAATTTCCTGTTCATATTACTTGTTGCAGGTTTCATCCAAACAATGTCCTTGGCATTAGAACATTTGCAGACACTTTGGGATGTGTTCCATTAGTTGAAGCATCTGACAAATTTATTCAAAAACATTTCCGAGATGTGTCAGCTTCTGAAGAATACTTACTGCTAAGTCGTTCTGATCTCTTAGATATTGTGAAACGTGATGAGTTGTGTGTCCTGTCAGAAGAGCAGGTTAGTAATTGCGGATACAAAAAACCGACAGTGCTTCATTTCCTTGTAATTTTCCATTAAATGTTGTGCCATTCTTCTGTGAATGACAGAGCACATTGCCGCACTTTGCTGTCATTGCTACATGCAAGCTGCATGATCTTTCTTGGGCAATCTAAAGCAAATACTAGATTTCAGTCCTTGACTTTTGATATTTTTTGGCCCAATACCAGTTGTGTGTGGACACTTTTAAAGAAATGAACTTTTAATGTTGGGTGTCATGTGTGGCAGGTGTGCTTGGTGTGTATGATGTTATATTTCCTTCATTTACTGTTATTTATTAATTTACAAAATATATGAATAGGCAGTACAATGTACACATAGGCTTCCACGGCTCGAGTGCCGCCCTCGTCACTACCCTGAAGAAGCCTGCGACATGACAGGTGAAACGTCGGCCTATCTGCCAACGACACGGCGTCACCCGGACAGCCTAGAAGTAATAGGCAGGACAAAGTTGGTAATGTTCATGATGAAACAGATCATATGACAAAGAAATATAAAATTAACAATATGATAAATAGAAAAGAAAAAGAAGAATGAAAAAAACACAACTGTAGATGATAATCAAGAACGAACAGTAAAACTTAATCCAAACATTGTTTAAATGTGTCAATGCAGGGAGCATTGACAACCAAAGCAGCTGGGTAATTCCAGTGATCAACAACAGGAAAATTTGTGGTCTGGGCTGTCTGAGTGACGCCGCGTTGATGGCTGATGTGCTGACGTTTCGACCGACATGTCGCGGTCCTCTTCAGGGTGCAGTACAGCCTCTGAAGAGGACCGCGACATGTCGTTTGAAACGTCGGCACATCAGCCATCGGCGCGGCGTCACCCGGACAGCCCAGATCATGACTCTGGCCGCGGAAGCCTACGACATCAACAGGAAAATTTGTATGGATTCTTCAAAAAAAAAAGTCTTTGCTTAATTTGTAATTGTGAGCATGAAAGACAAAGTTAGTATTGCTGAGGAAGAAATCATTGACAGCATAATTGTGGTGTCAGCTTGAGAGCTTCATTGTGAAGCACAAAGAAATTTGGTACAACACATAAATGTCATGCTCTTCCCATTTTTTTCATTGCCAACTGTCAGAACTACCCCCACGTAAACAAATTCTGCAAATTAATTGGGCTTTTGTGATCTTCCAATCTTGCTCTCCATTTTATATTCAGATTGATACAGATTGTCAAATGTTTTTAGAACCTCTTTAACAGCAAAAAAAAAAAAAGATGGAGTAATGGTCTTAAGCTGTGTTCTTACTATGCATCTTGTTATACTACAAATTATCCAACTCTGCCCCTGGTAGGTATCTGCTGTTGACAGTTTCATCCAATTGGGAGCTTTAACCTCACCGTAGTGATGCCACTATGGTGACATTCAAGCTCCCAACTGGATGAAACTGACAACAGCTGATACCTGCCAGGAGTAGAGTGGGAAAAATTGCTTGCATAAAGTTGAGACAATTTGATGCAATATGTTGCAAATGTGATGCACTGTCAACACTGCTTCCCTGCCATTCAATGGATCTGATGATATGCTTAAGATTTGAATTGCTCATATTCACAATTAGACAAAAGAACATTAATAGATAAGCATTTATAGAAAGAAAAATTAAAATGAATCTAGGCCTGCGGGAAGAATATTCAACTTTGAATTGTAAGAGCAATATTATATTTTGTGCTAAAGGGGCAACATAATTCAGTATGATTATCTTTGAAATACATAACCTCCACTTCTAGCAGACTTCAACAAATTATGAGTTATTCTCATTATTGGAATGGTTATAATAGTAATGACTAGCATCACTTTTCACAAGACATCATATACTTCTACACATATGTGATGCCAAATACAACTTAAAAAGGCTTTGATACTAGTAAAAATACAAAATGATTGTTTTGCAAAGTGCAAATCATTTGCTCTTTGGGGAAAACACACAGTCAAGATGCACAGTATTCTGCAAGAAGCTGTATGCTATTGCTTGTGACCATCCTTTCTGAAAAAAATCTCAATCCCAAAATGTATATACTATTGCATGCATTAGATGCAAGTACAAAATTGAATAAAAAGATGTATCTTGTTTATGGTCATAATGTAACATGCTCACTCGTGTGGGTTTTTCTCGTAGGTGTTTGAAGCAATTATGAGATGGGTTAAGAAAGATCCAGAGGCCCGCAAATGGGATTTGCCCCAACTCCTTTCAAACGTACGAATGCCCCTTCTCACTCCACATTATTTGGCTGACCATGTAGCGGCTGAAGAATTGATCCGCTCTTCTCATGAATGTCGGTAAGTGTGCAGATGGAAATTCAGTGCTGAGTTTCTGGGCTCAGGAACTTGCATCCTTCAACAATTTCAATGTTCAGAACTTTAGAAAAGGTGCTTAGTAAAAGGTTTTAGTCATTGAAAAGGGTAGAAAATTCAGATATCTATGATCAGATATATGGAAGTTTGTTACACGGCGTTGCCAAATCAAAGTATGGAGTTTTGTTTAAGAGGAGGTTAAGTTATTGATGTATAATCCGTTACTTTTTTACTTTATAGTACGTGATACACTTACTATTATCGTTCTTACTGTTATGTTTTGTATATGTTAAATGTTGGTAGCAGGTCAGTCTTAGTACTGCTCCACTTTTTTTCCAGAAAATTAGCTCTGCTGAAATCTTATCATTAAATAGTGTCTTTTGTCAATGAAATCAAAATTTATTGATAAAACCAGTTTTCCAGATTATAAGATTTGTAATTGCAAGGCAATCGTGTGGTAGTGTACAGTATTCAAAATAAGTCCATAGCTACAGGACAGATTTTTACTTAAATTATTAGATTAGAAACTAGTATAGAGCCATCCATAAATTACATAACGCAAATTGTAATATTTGAATACCACCTCTCCCCCCTGTAACACACATTTGTAACACGCTCTTGAACCCTTCTTCTAATAATTACATAACGCTTGCAACCCCTCCTCCCTCTCCCAAAGATCCAGTCAATATATCATTAATGAAAAATATTTTCATTTATTGAAACAATTTATAGAATATCTTCTTTCATTTATTTTCATTTAATTTGTTAATATGGTAATATTGTAGTATAAGACTGAATAAAAGGAATTATTTCAGCAAATGTTGAAAGATTTTAAAAATTAATATCAGAATCATGTAACACTAAACTATGACCACCCTGCCCCGCTAATTTATGGATGACCCTCTATGGTACTTGCTTTCCTCCTAGTAAGCAATCATTTACAACATTGGTCTATATTTTATTACAGAGACTTGCTGGATGAAGCGCGGGATTATCATCTTATGCCTGAAAGAAGACCATTGCTACAGAGCTTTCGGACACGACCACGGTGTTGCAATTACATCATTGGTCATATTTTTGCTGTGGGAGGCCTCACAAAATCAGGTAGGGCTTGATTTGGAATTATTCAGTTTTATACACTGTATGAAACTTGTGTAGTTGATTGATTAATCAACATATCTTAAAAAATCTCATCTCTTCTCTAACAGTTAGTGATATGAACATCAGAGATTATTTTTTCAAATTATTATCGTCTGGTCAGAGCTGTGAAGTTTTGCAGCTTGCAGAAACTGATTGACATTTTTCTTTGAAAATGAATGTTATGGAAACAAAATTATTGTCTTCAACATTTTGCATTGCTATTGCTTCTAAATAATGCATGCTTATTTACATCAGACTGTGCAGGTTCTTATGGTGGTCAGCACCAAATATTGGTCTTCAGTCATGTCCTGTTTATCTTTATAATTTTTTGCATACTACTTAGGTATTATAGAAAAAGTATTGTAATGCTACGGGAAGAAAACAATTTTTTTTACAAAAAAACTTTACTGTCGGCAGCTGATAACCAAAAATGGGATAAATTTTCTTCCTACATAGTTCTTCGAATATGTTGTTTACTCAGAATTCACAATTCATAGATCCTTGATATAAAGAAAGTGGTTTATAGCTAAATGTCAGTCTGTTCAACTGTATGCAATGCTGGAGTGTAATATTTTAGTTGATTTTTTTACAGTTGATCTGGTTGAACTTAAGACCCTGCAAATTATTTTGGGAAATTCTTTATAGGAAGCCTAAACATCATTTTCAAAATATTCTCAAAAATAGCTCCAAATTTTTTAATTAAATTTCTTCCTTGAATAAAGCTAAAGAGACTTAAAAAATTGTGCAGATCACATTTTCAGTACATCGTTTTTATATATAAATAAGGTTATGTACAGTTTTTTGGAAAATTAGAAGTTTTCACATAATGTAGATAAAAAAGATTTTTTTTTTTTTTTACACAAAAGTAAAACAGCTCCAAATTGTTTCATTAGAGTTTGGAGTTTGTTTATAGTATGTTATAGGTGTTTGGTTATAAAAATTTACGTTCCATTTTTGGTAAACTCTACTTTTAAAAATTACAAAAAAATTACTTTGCAAACAGATTTTATTATTGAATGAAATCTATTCTTTAATGTTAGTTCTTGAAATAAGATGCACATTTTTTTTTTGAAATCATGAGTTGTTTTCAGTAATTTTTGCAAATCTTGAAAATTGCAAATTTTCATATCCCGTGCTTCTCTTGCTTTCTTCAACAAGTCTTTCATGAGACAAGAGAAAGTATAAATATCTTGGATAGAAAAAATATCTACATGAATGTATCCATTAAGCACAAATATGACCTAATACATGCGCTCTTCACGAATAAGCCTGCCTTCAGGTTGTACACATGTGATAGTTTTGCCACCCTGTTCGATGTCATTGCACTGGTTACAGGTGATTCCCTTAGCACGGTGGAAGTGTACGATCCCATCATCAGCCGCTGGCAGCTGGCCGAGGCAATGACGATGCTAAGAAGTCGGGTGGGTGTTGCTGTCATGCGAAATAGGCTGTATGCATTTGGTGGATACAACGGTACTGAGAGACTCTCCACTGTAGAGGTTTTTGACCCGCAGAAAAGGATTTGGAGTCGGGTGTCCTCAATGCACTGTAAACGCAGGTGAGACAGATTTTTGGGTCGCATTCTTACTTGTTGAAGATACACTGTAAGTGTGAGGTTTAAGCTTATCCAAACATTTTCAGAACTTATTGTGAAGCAACAAATAATGGAATGTTATTGCTACAGTAAACTCTCCAATAACAAATTCTCTTATTAACAAAACTTACTAAATAACAAAAGAAATTACCCCATCCAGTAGTGTGTCTTTTGTTCTGTATGTAACAAACTATAACCTTCTACTTAGCAAACATTATGTTTTCAGCCCAGCTGTCTAGCAAATAAGTGCCTCTACAGTTTATTTGCTTTCACCCAACATATTCAAGACATCTTACATTTTTGTTCCTTTCTCTGCAGTTCATGGGCAACTCTTGAATCTCATGTGTTCCTTACATGATAAAAATCAGTGGATTCCCTCACTCCGTTGGGAATTCTCGAAACACAACATTGCCTATTTAAATGTCAGTTGCCTGTTTGTGAACCACAACTACAGAATGCCTTGAAGATGCTTTAATAGATAATTTTAGAGCTTGAACACAGTAAAAAAAAAGTAATTTTGATAATGCTTGTAAAATAAAGGAAAACAGTAAAAGAAAGTACTTGTCTTATGTGTAATGTCATATGTTAATTGTCATTTTCATAAAAAAGTCTTTAAAAAGAACATACAGTAAAACCCCATTTTTACATTCCCGCATTTTACGTTTTCCTGCCTTCTTCGTCATTTTTCATTGGTCCCATTGAAAAGCCTATATTCACAATGCATTCTCTTCCCGCACTTTACAACTTCGTATGAAGAATGTTTCCTGTCTTTTTTTAAATTTATTTTATTTTTTACTTTCTCGTATACGTACGTTTTATACCTAGTGCTGAGAAAGTTATGTTAAGCTGTGGCAAAAAACAGCGATTTTTCAACAGAAAAAGTAGATAAATACAGTTCCAATATGTAGTAAATTACTGTAACGAACTCACAAAAGCCTCGCATTCGTTCAGATGAATTGAGGAATATCAATTTTGAAGAAAATCAGCAGGCAGTTTAGGCGCTCACGTTGACCACAGACAGGCATACAGATGTTTTCAGTCGAAAAAACAGACATCAATCGATTTTGCAGTTTCAAGGGCCCATAAATCAGGGATACAGGCTACTCCACGTGTTAGAGGAAGTAATTTACTATATATAGGAATATGATTTATCCATTTTTTCATTATAAGGGCATGTCAATAGGAGATTTTCTGATGAATATCACGGATTCCAGCGCATGCTTTTACATTCTCTTCTTACAAAGGGTGATAAAATGAAAACAGAGTAACCATTTGCAGTAAAGAATGAAAGTACTCGCCTAACCTATTGTTTTCCAATTTTCCTTTATTTTACACTTTTTTTTCATCAGTTCCCTAAAAAGTGTAAAAGAGGGATTTTACTGTCTTAATTGACAAACTTCTCAAAATATGAACCCTGGAATTAGTTAATAAGAGAGTTTACTGTATTTTACTTTTAAATTTCATTTGGTAAAAACTCCTGAATAATGCCATCTTTAACTTTATCTTTAATGCCATCTTCACGAGCTCCTTCATTCACACAAGTTTATAAATTAACCACATTACATCTTATAAAAATAACAATTCATCTGGAATGCATCATTACAAAATGTATTGATGCTTCAATAACTTATTGAATGAAATAATGTAATCGCTGATTTGATGTATTTGAATTTTGACTTTAACAATATTAAACAACACTTGAAAAAACACAAAATAACAGTTCATTACATGTTTTTCAGTGCTGTTGGTGTTGCTGCTTTGAATGATTGTCTGTATGTCTGTGGAGGTTATGATGGTGTTACATCACTTAATACAGTTGAGTGTTATATGCCTGATAAAGATGAATGGACAATTGTGGCCAGTATGAATAAGCATCGCAGTGCTGGAGGTGTCGTCGCTTTTGAGGGCTATATATACGCTCTTGGAGGTCATGACGGTCTATCAATCTTTGATTCTGTAAGTACTTTCAATATCTTAACCCCTAGTAAATGTTATGTGCATAGACTTGACGATATCAAAGGACAACATTTGTAGTGCTTGAAAATTACCATGATAACCTGGAAGTGCCTAGATATCCTGTAACAATCTTAATACACCTGTTTGGTTCAATTGAAACACAGAATCCCCAACTGAAATTGACAAAACTTTAAATAAAAATTGTAAATTACTGTTGCCTGTGTATCAGAAGATGAGACTGAGTATCTAATGTGTGATATTCCAATGTTAAAATATTCTTGACACAAGTGTTCACATAATTTTATACAAGTTAAGACATTGATGCATTTAGCATTTACATTATTGTGTTCTTAAAAACATTACATAAAATAGTAAAATATAATTAAATACGAAAAACTATTTTCATGTTAATTTATACTTCTCCTCTAAGAAATTATGAAGCATGCTTTTGCCTTTTAAGGGTATTTAAGGCTCCTACAAGGGAGATTTAAGAGCTTGAAGTTTCGAATTTCAGTTATGATAGATTTCATAGAGGATGGCATAGTCAATTAACATAGAAAATAATTGACTTCTAGTGAATCATTGATCATATCAAAATATTCTTCTTTGATGCTAAAAATGCTTAACATTGTATGGGATGAAGCATACATGACTTGTTTGTTCTGCAAATAACCTTGCAATTAATCTTAAAATTGCAACAAGAATCAAAACCCATGGTGATTACTATACTGTAATAATATTAAATGTTATTAATATATTGTAAGAATATTACAGTTATAATAACACAAGAAAATAATGCTCTACGCACTGAGAACTCATTAAATGTTTGGCAAAAGAGGCATCACTAAGGAGACTCATGACCCTGAAAAAATGTAATTTAAGAAAGTGTAAATGTGGAGGGAGAGACTTCATGGTTAATCTTCATTTTAGAGTACATCAGACATCCACATTTTTCTTTCTTCTAGTGTATAATTTCCATATAACCATTTGAGAATGATTTAATACTATAACCCTAACTGTGTGTGCATAGGTAGAACGATATGACCCTCATTCCGGACAATGGCGCGGTGCAGTGCCCATGCTCACTCGGAGGTGTCGACTAGGTGTGGCAACATTGAATGGCAAAATGTATGTGTGCGGTGGTTATGATGGATCAACGTTCCTGCAAACTGTTGAAATGTTTGATCCAGCCACAAATGAGTAAGTGTTGTTAGCTTTTGTTTGTACTGATCACTCATTGATTTTCAAAGTAGCCTCTTGAAGATAACAATCACTCTGCAAAACAGAACAATAAAGGATGAAAGTGCAGCCTCAATGTTAAAGATAACAATCACTCTGCAACACAGAACAATAAAGGATAGAAGTGCACCCTCAATGTTAAACATCGGAAACAAAAGTCACTTGCAGCACTCCAAGTGGCCTGGCAAAGAACTACATAAACCACCCGCCCAGCACAGCGTATGAAAGTTAATTTCACTCAATCGTCTTCACGAAAGTCAATAGATATTAATAGGCTACATTCTACTGCAATTTTTCTAAAATATATTAATTATCTATTTTTGCAATGCACTTGGGTAACAGAGGAGAGTCATATAATTATATGGTGATGGCAGAACTGAAGGAATCAAAATAAATAAACAAAGACATATATAAATAAATAAATCATTCCCTTCATTGTACAATTTATATTAAACAATATTCAATACAGACTTCAACATTTTAAATTTTTTCATTTCATTGCCTTTTGTATATTTTCTTTTAGTTTGTATTTTCTGTTTTTCATCTATTACATATTTGTACATTAAAAAACGTACCCACTTTTTAAAATAAGTTCTTTGGATAAATGCACTTAACAAAACAATGTATCATCAGGTGATTTGGAATTAGAGCAAAACCTCCTCTCCAAATTATTTAAATGGCCATTTGCTTTCTAGAAATGTATACAATTATTCATGAACGTTCTTTAAAATTATCACATTAACGGTCTTTAAAATCATTACATTAAATAACAAATCATAATAAATCATTATATTACATGACATAACAAAAAAAACATGTTTTCCTTATAGTGTTATGTGAATATTGTAGGCTAGAAATTTCATACAAATAATCATGAATGACACTTTACGTTAAATGCTAACCTCTATATGGCGAAACATCCTTGTATTCCACTAAGACCAGCAAATCGAAATGCAGAAAACTCAAAACTGTTGCAAATGTGTCTGCTAAATCAAAATATCTTGAAATGCGAAACACACACATGAACGCACAGAACACTAAAGGAACTCATGAACGTAACCAACAGCAATATGATTCACACTTCCGCCATGTGGAAATCGCATTCAGGCTGGATGTGACGTACAAAAAACAAGCAAAAACCACTAGCCAATCATTGCTTAATATTCTTTCAACTAGCTCTCCAATTTGCCTGCCAGTGTGTTGCCAATTTCCCTATCTCACCTTCTCCCCTGTGCTCTGCAACTAATGTTAGATCTGCACATACCTAATCTACCAACAAAGGTTGAAGGCACATACATCTTCACTGAGAAGGTTAAATGTACTTCTTAATGGTTAATCATATGTACCCCTTTATTACAGTGGGTGATAAAACATTTTTTTAACTACTCTTAAGAGCACTTATTTAGGTATCCTAAATGTTTAATAAAAGTTTGGGTATGATTTCAATGAAATACTATGCAAATCCTTAACCTTGATACTCTGACAAACCTCTTGTTATGTAATTTTCTTTTTCAACTTGTGAAAAAAATAATTATAAAAGTAGTGTGCAAATATAGAAAATAAGTTTACTTACTTTCTTACACAAGTTTAAAATCTTAGGAAATGGTGAATTACTGAGAATTCCCTATATGTGGATATATAGTGTTTGTAATATTTCCTGAAGATTCTTTCAGTCATTCTGAAGATCCTCTTATTAGTCTGTCTTACATTATTGTGTAGTTTCTGATGAAATGTAATACCAATCGGAATGGTTTGCAGGTGGCGGTTCGTGGCTCCTATGAATGTCATGAGGAGCAGAGTTGCCCTTGTGGCCAATATGGGCAAACTGTGGGCTATTGGTGGTTATGATGGTGTGTCCAATTTATCCTCTGTTGAAGTCTACGATCCCAATATGGACACTTGGTCATTTGTGGCGTCCATGTGTGCCCACGAAGGAGGTGTTGGTGTAGGAGTCATACCGGTGTGCTAAATCAACGATGTACATCTTGTCCTTTGTTGTTATTCTGTATAATTAATTTAAGTTCATTGAAAAAAACAGTACCTGCTGGGGTTTGACTGAGTCATTTTTTTAATAAAAATATCTAGGATTATACGATAATCACACAGATACCTGTTCACAGATTGTGGTGTAGGGTTTTCTCTTGAGATTACTGTCTAATATATGGTTACTTTGTGATGAATTCTCTTCTGTATATTCCTTCTGATTATTTATTGGTATGTCATGTGTATGTTTGGCTCGAAATAGTCTAGTGTGACTGTTGTGACAAGTTTTTTTTTTTTACATTTAAGCATTTGTGTGGGAAACTGTCAGCAAAGTAGGTATAGTTAAAAGTAATTTGATGAAATTACATGATGTGTTTATATTTATTATTGTAAGGATTATTTAAACTTACATAACAAAATGGGAAAGTACATTAAGAAAGTTTAATGATACATTAAAGACTCAATGTATTAGTTCCTTAATTTGATACTGGGGAGAAAAAGGTACAGGATGGAAGGGTACTCCTTAACTGGTGTAAGAATCTTAAGAAACTGTAAATAAACAGGACTGAATTTGTCATTAAACTCTCAAGCAAAAGCATTAGCAAGCAAAGTCAGCAAATGGAAAGGAGTTGAAAGTTTGCAGCTGTATTTATTTCAACCAATGGTGAACTCTTTAACTATTGCTTTCTTTATGTTCTGCATTTAAATCACTAAAGTAAAAGTATCATGAGCTTTGTGATCACTTAATTGTTCTTTATGTTCTCTATGAATTCTTTTCCAATCAAAGGAATGGATAAAATAATGGAAGTTATCTTCGTCAACTTAAATTTTAATTGATAAAAATAATTTCAAACATTTTACCCATTGCAATTGAATGGATGAAATGTCAACCACCCCACAACAAACAAATCTCAAAAAACAAAATAGTGAAAATTCTGTAATATCTGATATTGCAAAGAAGCTTTTGACAAGAAATTGTTCATCTTTGATGATCTGTATTTGGAAGTGATGGTAATCATGCATATACCATATTTATCCAAATATAAATAGGGGTAAATATTTACATGTGATTCTGAATGTAAGATAGTACCTTAATTTTGAAGAGGCCTCATGAGAATTTTTTGAATATATTAATTCTGACTATTTACTGAATAAAACTGCTAATTGACTACTAGATAATTGTCTCATGAATGAGAATGTTATTACTAATGCCTGAGCTAACAATATTTTCTTGTTCCATAAAAATCATCATCATCATCATTATCATGGTGTTTTTCACTATCTGCTTTAACTTTGCATCTCTCATTGTTTGTTTTTGGTTCTCATCTCATAGTGTAAAGTCCTCTAACTTTTTAGGTCCCCTCTGAAAGTTTTGCGCTTTGAATTTGAATTTCAAATGACATCACTGAAGAATATTCTTTGTCACCATCTGTGTTTGAGCATCATTTCGGTGTGCTATTATCAATGTGATTTTTTTTCATTTTCATCTCTTGCAAAATCACTCACTTGGCATCAAACCAAAAGTTCATATGATGTTTTCCATCCCATAATGCACATTGTGTTACAACAACAATTTTTGTTACTTTCTCATCCTTACTTTGTAAGTAGAGAAGTATTGGAATTGTGCATGCAGGAAAACAGCAAATGTTTGACAGAAAAGCGCTTGAAGCCCAGGCCAGGAAATGAAAAAGTGGATAATTCTTGTTCCTGTGTCTAGTGAATTACTTTCTCTAACACACTTTACTCGCAGTGGACACTTAGTAGTTGAGAAGTGACCTTCAAATAAGTAACATTGGGGGTATACAGACACGCCCAAACATCCTTGGCATGATTTGAACCTGCGGCTCTTCAGCCTTAGCGACCTTGGCTATCCAGGCTGGCCAATACTTTGTGTAGTCAGGGTCCACATTTGGGGGTCCTTGATACCGAAAAATCGATTGATGGCCAAATGTCTGTTCATCTGTCTCGGGCCCCTAAACCATTCACCAGACTTTCTCCAAACATTATCTCTCTCCGATTGATTTAAATAAACTAAAGACCCTCTGATTGGTGGGGAGTTAGGTATATCAAGCCTCAACATTTTCAAAAATAGCTCCAAATATTATTAAACTTTGTATTCGGTTAGCATAAAAGATGCCTAAGGGAGTGGTGCAGGTCTCATTTTCATTAAAACCCCTGATTTTTTTGAAAAGTGCTATAGTTCAATTTTTTTTCTTCCAACTACTCCATCTTCTGTGTGTATATAGTGTTCTGTAAGGTCTAGTATCAATTCCGACCAACTCTGTATTTTCGAAAAGGGCTAAATTTTACATTTCAAAATTACAACATTAATGACACAGATTTTTGTATTCAACACAATCTGTTTTAAAAAATCAGCTCTTTAAAGAAGGTCAAGTACATTTTTTTGAGAAAATGAATAGTTTTTGTGTGTCAGAGTTTGTTTTAAATGTATGCTATTTCTAAAATGGAAAACATGTTTTTGAAAACCACTCCAAATTTTTGCCACAAGTAGAACAAGGAATGCTTAAAAAAAATGTGCATTCTCATTTTTTTAAAATTCATATTTTGAAATAATTCGAGAACATGATATGCTGTTGAGCACTACTAATTCATTTTTACATTGCATTTTACTTGATACAATGCCATTCTTTTGAGATTCTCTCTTTCTCGATCCATTCCAAAATATCTGTCTGAATCGCCTGGCAAATTTTCAGTGGATGAAAACTGCGAGTACAATTTCATCTTAGATACGCGTGATATTTTTATCATTTTCGCAGCGTATAGTTATATCAACATTTTTGAGTTTCATGACATGGAAAGGCAATCTTAAAAAATAAATCATAACCAAATATGCGTAATATGCAAATATAAGACCTCAAATTTTTCGTTATATGTCTTATGTTTGAGTAAATTCAGTTCATCTATCAAAATATATATTTATTTTTTATTGAACAATCTTCAATGAACAAATACTTAAAATAGAAAATTCTTCAATGTGTTTGTATTCCGTATAAGGAAACAAATTAATGCACACTTGCTTGAGGTTTAATGACATAATGTGCTATGAGGTTGCATTTACTTCAATGGTTCAAAAAAAATTTTTTTTTTTTTAATTTAGTCCTTTGATAACTTTTATTATTTAAATAATTTGTACAGAAATATTACAGTTAAATAATGAGACCAGTACACTGTATTACAAATTTATACCTGGCACAATCCTCATTAGAATTATAAAACAGGCATAGCCTATATTTTTCTGAAATGTCCTTTGTATATTTGTTAATTAGGAGGTTATGTAAGAGATGCAAGTTACAAGAGTAAAGTTAAGATCTCAGTAGAAATGTGTTCTTCTCTTACAGATTCTCTGGAATCATGTTCCTTATTGTTTATTGTAAATAAACCACTGCACTTATAATTATGTATTTACTGAATCCAAGCATCGGATTCCCTATTTATCCTTCTAATTATTGTAAACAATTCATATTTTTTCTGTTTTGGTTAAAATAATATCACCAACATTGATGTAAATATATCTTATTTACATAGAACAATCACATAAACTAAATATTAAAAGCCATTCTAAACAATGTAGAAGAGGAAATGAAACAACAGAAGTATATGAGAAGAAATTTTTTCTGAATAAAAATTAAGCATTGATTTTGGGGGTAAAGGAGGTCAAAAATCGAAAAGTACTAAAAAAATTTGGGGAGGAGGAGGAGGTAACTCTTTTGAGAACATTTTGGTCAGATACAAGTATATGAAAAGGAACAAATGTATGTGTCCAAACAAACTAAATAAGAGCAAAGTCAGAAATTAATTCTGTGCATGTGTTTTGCAAAAGGTATTATTATTCAAAATCTGTAAAGCATTCAAAAAAATATGAAAAACAAGGCATTCAAAAAATACTTTATACAAATTGAAAAAAGGAATATTTTCATAAATTTTTTATTTTTCATAAGGCTTCTTCCACACACTATGCCCCAAGCACAGTATCTATCAAATTATTTTAATAAATAAAAATACAAGTTTGTAGGCTAACTCCTACAAATTCTATAGATTTTAATGAATTTACTGCAAAGGCTATGGTCCAATATATGATGTAACATATGATATCACTTTGATGATCAGTTATACGTGTGTGTTAATAAATCAATTTAATTCAGAATTAAAACGCAAGATATGATATTTGACAGCTCTACTGAATGAAGTGACTTCTGAGATAAAGGCAGACCACAGCCCAATTTAGGATCTGATTGCAAGGAACAAGTTAGTATGAACGTTTTATTCAGAAAAGTCTCGATTCAATACCTACCACTGTTGAATGGTTGATTAGATCATTTATTTACCCCAGGGTAGTGGGCAGATAGCAAATAGTCAGGGTATCTGGGGAGGAAATGTGAAAACTTTGAAAATAAGCTCTTAAGACAATTTTAAGCATATTTTGCCTAATAAACATCTTAGTGCCGCCAGAAGAACTCAAAAGTTGGTTTGAAAAAATACTCTACATGAAAATTTGCACTTCAGAAACATACAAACACTCCAGAACCATGTAAATGATTTATTATTTACAAAATAAATTAATATACTTATTCAGAAAGAAAAATTAACTCAGAAATAAAATAGCAGTCGAATTGTGTAAATTGAGTGCTTTTGTTTTTTATTTCGGTGTTAATTTTTCTCCACCCAGGGTGTGGAGAAACCTCTGGGTGGAAAGGAAATCCAAAATATTAATGAATGGAAAATTAGTGGAACAAGTAAATAAATTTTCATATCTTGGAAATATAAGTGAATACAACCAAATTCAGGAAGACATAGAAACAAACTTAATAACTACAATAGAATATGTAGAACAATTAAAAGACATTATGGCAGAGACATGGATCCAGAAACAAGACAAACTCCACAATATAGCTGCTAAACCTAGAATCATGTATGGCTCTGCAACATGGGTAATGAAAAAGAAAGACAAGCAATAACTTATTTGAAATTTGTTGTGACAAAATGAGTTTGCATGCTTCACAGGGGCTGGTCCAACCCCTGTGAGCTGTCCTAAACCCTACCCCAATTCTAATTCCTTCCCAATTCTGTCTGTTGAGTAGTGATGCAGGGGCGCGTAGTAGGAGGCGAATATGCGGAGATGCTTCTTAGCGGACCTCTTAAAACACTGACTGTGACGAGACATGACAGATATGACACAACATAAAATTAATTAACGGAGGATTACTCCGGAAGCACAAAGCGCTCAACGCCCCATGGGGGCTTGGAGACATTGCGTCAATTAAAGATGCAACGAATTGTAAAAAAAAAAAAAATAAAATAAAATAAAATAAAATAAAAAAAAATACAGGCACTACCCATCTAGGACACCTCGTGGGATTTACATGAAGAGACAGACTAACAAATAAAGACATCAGAAAGAAACTGAAAACTTAAGTTTAGTAGAAGAGATAGAACCGTCTCAAAGAAGATGGAAAGATCATTTACAGAGAATGAACAACAACAGATAGCCAAAATAAATCTGGAAGTACAAACCAAGAGGGATCAGGGATAGAGGCAGACTATTAAAAAGGTGGCAACAGCAGGAACACTTGAAAGTTGGTAGACTAATAATCAACAAGAATACTTCAATAAACCAATAGAAACAGACTGTAGAGACTAATTTCTGGACAAATCATGATGATGATGATAATGATGCTGATGATGACAAAACATTCTGTCTAGATGTACCCTTGCATATTTAAAAAAAAACATGTTTTAAAAACAGAAAAATTTAAGAAAAGTAATTTAACAATAGTAAGATAATAAAGTTTAATATAATTTGACAGAAAAATAAATAACATAACTGCAATACTGATGATAATAAATAATGGACAGATAAAATGTAAGTTTATTATTATTAAAGAATATTGAAGAAATGGAAAGTATCATTGGACTCATAATTTTTGAGACAGTTAATATTTATTTAGCTACATTGCATACCATATTGTAATAATAAGAAAATCAACACAATTGAATGGTTCACCTCCAGATAGTTCTATGCCATATTTTCAACAAAATAAGATAATCTTACTAGCATCAGCGATGGATCTGGATGGATCATCTGCTAGCATCTGGATCCAGCCAATCATTTTGTAGTGGTCCATCACAGACTTTTGTTAAATAATAAACATTTGTTATTATATTGTATATTATTTAGGTAATGTATATATGGCACTACAATACAATTTTTTTAATAATCCATAATTCTAACATAAATGAATATTTAAATCAATTTGCCAAATAAAAGAAGGTACCTAACAAATGAAAATTCCAGGCTTTTTTTTTTGGAGTCAATGGCTCCCTTGGCTCACCTGGATCCGCTACTGATTAGCATACTCACCATTTTGAGTATTTCGTTTTGTGCAAGTATTGTGATGCTTGTGTGCAAATGATGTTGTACTACGGAGACATTTCTGCTTCTCTCTATGAGAAGGAATGACAGAATGAAACTCATATCATTTTATATCTTAGAATGAATTCTATGTAGATTTAGACCCCCTGAATTTCAATTTATTTAGAGCATTTAAAAATTCTAAATATAAGTTTGTATGAGTACCTACTTAAAAATTCCTGTAATAGAAACAGAAGCGACTGTAAAGTGAGTTCTTGAAATTGAAACATAAGTAGCAACAAAAATAAATTTCCAGCACTATAGAAAGGTAGTTCACAGTGCTCGGTAAATAGAACTATCACACATTTAGCTTTTA